ACAGTAATAAAAATAATTAAACCTTTATCTAAATTGTCTCTTTTCATTTCATATTTTTAAAACGAAAATAATATCTTACTTGTAATAAATATAGCCTATACAGTTATCAGAATTTATTCTAGTTGTACATATGTTATGAAGAGAAGACAGGATTTCAACGACTACTATTTTCAATGTAGAATAACCTTATATTAAAACTACCATCACATTGAATTAAATAATTTCAAACGTTTTGATCTAAAAGAGATTATTGAATTGTATAATGTATCAACTATTAAAATCTAATTATATAATATATTATAATTAATTTAGATTCTTACGCAATATATAGACAAAATTGATTAAATGAAAAACTCAAATTTTTAATAATGTTAAATGGAATTTTACATCCTACATCCCTCGAGGCAGACTTCCGTACCGAGCGGTTTATTAAAAAACACATTCCTAAAACACTGAGATACAAGAATAAAACTTACGTAGAACTATGTACTATTGCCATTTTATTATTTATTTTATTAACTTTTAAAGTTTTTTGGCACAGGGTCACGAGAAAATAATATGATTTATAAAATCATAATGCTGGCTTAACGTTCAAATTGAGTAGAAGTTTTAATTAATATTGGATGACCCATTTCATTCTTAAACAAAAATGTTTGCCTTTGTAAAAAAAGATAGTTGAGCAGGCTTTTCAATTTATAATAAATAACTAATAAGATTGTTAAGCGAAGGATAGAACTCTAGATTGAGGCTTCGGATAGCGTTTAGAGAGAATATTAAAAGAATTATAGGATTCCAATATCTTCATCGATTAAAATGCACCTGTAATTACTTTTTCTTTCTTTAGAAATAAAGAACTTCCCGAGTACTATCACCAAAAAATTTTTACTCAACAGAGAGAAAACAGATGCTACAAGCATCTTTCTATACATTTCATATATTAGTATAGGATCCCGATATAAAATGACCTTCACCGAGATGCTTATTTGATGAAACATATTTTATATTCAATTTAATATGTCAATAATTATATTACATATGGGTGGCCTTGTAAATTTCAATCCAGGATATGATTAATTAACAATAAAAAAATATATTTTTTTTTTATTTCACCGGTTGTACTACTAAATAAACTCTATACCAATCGGAAGTATGAAACCCTTAGAATATGCAAACGTTAGGTTGCTTATTCTGTTCCAGTCACAACTCTCCGGTTGCCAGGTATAAACAGGTAATTAAGCAGCATTTTACACCGGTCTGATAATTTAATCAAATTTAAATGATCGTACAGATTATTTAATTATGAAAACGGTGGTATAGGGTTGAATACTAAAAATCAATCCGAAATTGAGGTTGTCGAATTTTAAAAGATGACATATAGCCGTGATTGAATATTATATTGCCGAATCTCTAGTTTTAGAATTAGATCCATATACATTTTTTTTTAACAAAGCTGACTACTCAAAGCTTTGCGGATCTATTTGAATTCCTAAAAGTGAATCTGGATTGATTGGTTTTAAGATAAGGTTTTGGGCACTTCACTACGTGTTTTAGTATTTTATTGCCTCATAAACACCTTCGGTAAGTTATGTAAGTTAATTTTCATAGTTTTATAATGAAACTTTAAGTCTTTATAAAATAAAAAGTATTTAGTAAAAAATTATATACTAGACAGTTAATGTGTGTTTAAAATTGTGACCATAATGGAAAAAAAATATTGGAAAATATGATAAAAGTTGAAACGTTAAATAATAATAAGTATTATAAATGGGTAGACCATAACAAATCATATATCGAAAGAAGAGCTTCATCGATGCTATCTAGTGGTGTTTTAAGAAAGGTGGTTTTACAATTGTCTTTTCTACATATTTTGTTCCAAGTGTTATAATGTGCACTATTTCGCCGTTTCTGTGATTACATTACTGTGATTACAGAGGATGTGACGCTTTTTGTGTCATATATAAAGTTCAATAATCGCAACACTTTTGCGACACATATGATTTGACGTTATCAAAGTTGGGTCAAACTAATTCATCCTCCACGGCGTACTCCTCTAGAGTCCGCTGTGTTAGTAAAGGCTAACCCATTAGATAATAAACTTCCCCGGGGATTATATACAGTTTGGCTAGCTCACTAATCTGGTCCTCCACTGATAGCGATGGCTCGTGGAGCAGCCGTCTTCCGATTTCCTTATTTATCATAACCAAGTAAAAAAACTAAATCTTGACGTGTGAAATTATATATATTGTTATAAAAATTAAATACCGACTCCATCTGACATGATAGCGGAAGTGTATAAATCAGCTGTTGTTACAACTTTATTGCATTAGTAGTAACATTGCGCCTCAAAATTTAATGGCCCAACGAGAAAAATAGAGAGAATAGAATTATATCAAAATTGCTCATAATAACAACCAAACACAACCACAAAATTTATTTCGACTATTATTTCAGCTTCTTCGCGTTAATTTTATTTAAAAAAGTTTATATTTCTTTCCTTGAATTTTTAATTAATATTTAATTATATAAATATACAAATAAGACCTCGTCGGAATAATTTAATTTCATCTGCTACTAAAAGTTCTGGTACTGAATCCTATCATAGTATTAATACATATAGCATACTAAAATGAAATGGGAAGCTAAAACGCGATATGTTGCTTATGGCAGTCATAAGTTTACACATGACGTGATTGATGTCGTAAATTGTAGGACGTCATTCTAGCTTATATATGGTGTGAAACGTAATATCTAATATGTGATATAAATTATTTATTGCTTTTTATAAGTTATTTTTGTGATATATGAAAAAATAATAATCGTTGATTGTAGGATGATATGTATTTAGAATAATCTGTTAATTTCTTGTGCTTATATTATTAATTATTTTGAAAGAATACATAAACAATAACTACTATGTGATATACTAAGTAATTTTTACAAAAGATAAGTTACTAGATTTCTCTATAGTAATACTTAAAGTAAGTAATGTAATAGTAATAACAATTACTACTGTAGTGCCATATTAGAAAAGGTTCGGAGAATTGGCTTTAACAAAATGAAGTTTAAATTTATGTGGGTATGTCGTAATATGTTTACGAAAATGTTTGCAGAATAACTCTAGAGAAATAATTTCAACAAAGCGTTGTGATAAAAAAATTCTTAATTAAAATTAACCTTACGTTTTTCGGAATTCCAGGCTTAAATAGTAATTATATATTTAAAAAAATATTGCGTTCAGATTACACATTATCGAATACATGTTATGTAATACTTTTAGTTTAAAATTGCTTTTATTGGTTAAATTTGCCAATAATAATAAACAATTTTATACTTAAATTAAAAAAAGATAATTGGGATGAAAATATATTTCAATATTATATATTATTATATTGAGTTTATACGTCTTTACAAGGTCCTGTTTTTGTTAACAATGTTCTTTTAAATAAAAGCTTCGTTATGTAGGATAAAAGAATTATGTTTAGAGTTTTAAACTATTCCGAGTTATTTTTAATACTTTACTGCTGCAACCAAAGAGACGATTCTCTTGTTGATATATTGCTATCACCACTCGTGGAAACTAGGACATACAATGTCGCTTTCAGTATGTGGTTCCTTTAGGCACTTCCACGTAAATATCGCACATCTACTAGTTACTTTTTAACTTCCAACGATATTATATTACCATTTGGAAGTATACTCACTCAGTATACTCTATTTACTGAAGACTGTCTTTCTGATGAAAGAATAGACCCCATATGTAAAATGAAATTTACAATTTAAAACTGTGTACAGCTTCAATTTTTCTTTTTTTTTACTTACAAGGTAAGTAGATACATAATTATTACATTGACTCAATTAATTTTGTCCTCTTCTGATCTGCATATCGGATGTTAGTCAATAAAAATATTTATTTTTGGAGCAACCCATTAATAGAGTAAATTTAATATCGGTTATATATTAAAATTTATATCTAATAAAATTATGGTATTTCTTAAAGTAAGATCCTGTTGACATAAAAAAGCAAAAGCATAAAAGAACCACCATTTCAGTGTCTCGCTGGAAAATAAAAACCAGATGTCACACAATTTTTAATTTTCGTAGAAACAGTTCTTGAACCTTTTTAGGAGATGAATTAATTGAATAACTCAGTTGTTATAAAAGCCAGGGTTTTAAAAGCATTGTACTGATATTTTTGCCTACTTTATTAACTCGATAAATCTTAGAGTGTATTTTAATTGAAATTTTTTAGACCTACAAAAGTAAGTTTTTTTAAGTTGACAATCAACACTAACTGTAATGAATATTTATAAGTAAAATTACGAGTCTTTAAATATCTTTGCTAAAAATTATTAAATAATTAATCCAGTTTACTTTTAAAAAATCATGTGAAAATAAAGTTTAAGTAACTAATCATTTGAAAATCAAATGTAGTTTGAACTAAACATAACAAACATAACTACTAAAAATTAATATTTTTTTATTTATCGTCAAGATTTTTAAATTTATTTCCAAATCCTAAATTCTGTTATATACAATAAAATGCGTTCATACAGTTTGTGTTTCTGAGGAAAACGAAAATTTAATTTTTTATAAACTGGAATGAAGATATATATGTATAATTGTTAAAAACACGAGTGAAGTGGAAATGATAAGTTTGAAGCGTCAATTCTTTTACATTTATTTACATCAAATATAAAAAATTAATTAATTTACATTTATTAATTTATTATATTTGAATCCATATTAAAATGTTATATTTTTAAAAGGAATCAGCTCCCTAAAAGTGATTCCGACAAATAAACATAGTAAACTAATGTAATATAATAAAAAAATCAGTGCCGTAATGCAATAACTAAAGTGATTGAAATAAAAAAAATGATCGACTTTTGAAGAGTATAATATGTATCATTAGACATACTTTTATCCCAAGACTGTCAAAAAAACCTCGTTCTTCGACACAGATATCCCGGCTTCATCGATCTCCCGTATACAAAAACACCATGGGACTTAGTGTACCCGCTATGGCATTCGATCGATCGATGGCTCAGATACTGAGGGACCCACCACTGAAGATAAAAGTCTCACCTACCTATGTAGTACCGTCATATGCTCCTAGATTGTGCGCACTTGTTCTGTATCTCAAGACTGCACCCATACCCATGGTAGCCCCTCTGTTCAGCTTCCAAATCTATATACAAAAGGCCCTTATATTTGATCCAATTAGAGCTAGAGCTATGTTATATAAATTAAGGATTTCACTACTCCGACTAACAATCAGCTTTCATACGACGTGTTAATAAATTCGTTGTCTTAACTGACTTACGAGTAGCATAGACCTTAACGGTCAACGGTAATCTTCCGGGCTTCCGAATGAAGTACATACATATAATATATAAACTCACCACAAAAAAAATGTAAATACATAGCTTTTGCGACATATCCAGATCTCTCCAGAATAAAATCCACAGATCAATTGTATGGCAGCTAGCAGAAGTTCTGCTAAACACAGGCAAGCATTGTATTAAGTGTGTAAGAGACCACGTGACCTATCAATACAGTAGGTTCATCTAAGTCCTGAAAAACAGAAGCTACATTCTGCGATATATCGAATATGTCCGAAACCCTAGAACTGTTCTAAAATTGGTCGACGAACCAACAACTCCTAGGAGTCGACACTCAGAAACTGGCATTGAACCAACGTGTAATCATGTTGAATGGTGTCGGGGCATTTTAGGCCAACAGCAAAATAATCGCTTAAAACAACGCTCTCTGATAGTCATTAAGTAGAACACTAAAGGACTAACTCATCAAATCAACCTATTTTATTTATTCTTGTTCGCCTTTGTGATAATTACTAGTAATGATCTAAAAATTATGCATTAATTTACAATCGATTTGAAACCATTTTCTCTACCAAAAATATAGTTGTCTATTTAACAAATGAAGAAAATTTTTATTTTTGCTCCAACTCTGATACAAACATACATTTATTATTTGGTTGTTTTTTTAAACAGAAAGATCAAGACAAGGCAGTGTCTCACCATTTCCGCTATAGTAGCCAAAGGCTCCGTAGGATTCAGTTAGTTGCCTGAAAGTTTTCCCGGACTACTAAGTGGAGTTAGCACACTGAACTTAAATCTCTTGTTATGTTAATCAGACTGTACTCAACAACTTACTAGGTCTGGTCAGTATGAACCCTTGAACTAATTGCATCATATCTTTTGTAAGTTAACCCTCTCAAAACATTTTACTTTGCTAACTTACAAAATATACAAAACTACGATTTTACTTTATTTTATAATATTTGGTAAATTATAATTAAGATGTTTTTTTATAGATATTTAATACAAGATTTTATTAATAATTTTATTTAAGATTAGTTTTTGACACTACTGCCACGATTTTTTTTTTTTATATGAATGACCTTATTGTTATACTGCTTGCAATATACCTTCTTAATTAGGTTTCAATTTGAGTGATAACAATATATAAAAAGCCAAAAAATGTTAAATATTTATGTATTATATCATATACATATAATGTATATACTGATTCTTGTAGAAACTATGGATTTATAAATTCACAGTGCCATCTGTTATTGTATTTTTCCCATTAAATAATTATATATTAATGTCATTGCGTAATATAATAGAAATAAAAGGATACAACAATATTAATATTTGCTTATCATTGTAAATCAGGAATAAAGGGACGGAACGAACATGGCACAAACTTTCTTGATTGTTAGGGTACTTTAGTCTTTAAGTAGTCCTTCATAACTTACAGAAGAACCCTTTCATTGTGGATGCTGGCCGATACTTAAGGGCTAGTTTCTAAGTACAAGTTTCTGTGGTTATCAACAATTAAAGTTATAAGTAGCTCTAAAAAAGCTATAACGAAAAAATATACATACGAAAACTATATGAAAATAACTAACACAAATAAATAATTATTCCCTTTGATAAAGATAAAGTATTTTTTATGTTTCAGCTGAATTTATAAGAAAATAATAAGAACTAAAGTAAGCGAGTTAATGTAAATTATATTGTTAAAGAAGTGTATTGCATGAGACATAAAAAGAAAATATTATTAAAATCTTAATAGAAGTTTAAACGTCTGTTTTAATAAATTTTGCATAAATAAGTGCTGTAATTGTTAGCTTATGAGATTTTAATTTTAATATTCTTTTTTCCTTTTGGATCGTTTCAGTTTCCATAATAACGTAATAAATAGTAACAATTAAAATATATTTAAAATTCAAAAAAAGAAAATTAAACTCAATAATAAATTTAAGATATTTCGTTCACATTGTTGAATAACGTAAAATAATATCAGTATAATGTATAAGTTATACTCGTATATTTTAAAGTAGAGTTACTATGCTTGGCCCATTTATGTTACCGCACGTTATACTAAAGATAAATGTCACTTGTCTGTCATTATACAATCAGTGACTGTCACAAATTACTACCTATAACAATTTTGTGGATCCATAGTTAATGAATTATTAAATATTGGAGAATTTTCATGTTATTCTAATATTTTTTTTAGTTATCACTTTTAAGTGGTAAAGAAAATGTATTTTAGAACAAATTTTTTTATCTTAGGGCGTCCACAGTACGCATCCATCACATTCGGTCTTGAGCTTCGCCTTTTATGTCGCTCCAAGTTTTTGGCCTCTGCAATGATCGTCCGCTGCCAGATCTGCTTAGAGCCACCACGTTTTCACTTTCTTTGGGGAGTCCAGTCCAGTCCAGTAGGGCTTGTCTTGGTTTGTGTTCCAGTGAAGACACAATAATCAAATGAAGACTCGGCGAAGACCAATTAATGAAGACCTGAAGTCAATGCGAGATGTCCTTAGTGATCATCCACGTCTCGTATCCTCGTATCTCGTATAACAGAACGCTTTTTGGTACTGGACGGGAATATTTTGAGTTTTATTCTCCTGGTCAGTTTCCGCGACTGCTATACAGGACGGAGGTGAGTGAAGCTGCTCTTAATTTGGCGATTCTTGAAGCGACGTCCTTTTCGGTCACTCCAGTCCTAGGAGGGTCAAATTGTGGATGTTTTCCACCGCTGTTCCAATGAGCAACGGCAAGGAGGTTGTTGCTCCACACCTCATCTCCTGGATCTTCCGCGTATTTATTCACACCCCTAGCGCACACCTGCGTGGACTGATATGTCCTCCAACAAAAGGATTATGTCCAACTGAAACTTTACGGTATATTCCAGAAGTTACCGTTTCAAATGTTGTTTATATCAAGACATACCAAATCTATATTTTCTCTTCGATATTTAATTCAAGTGATTATTCTAGTGTCGTTTTAAATCTTATAATATAAATATGAATATAAATATAAGGCGCCCTATAAAACGCATTAAATATTTGAAGCCGAGGAATCTATTAACTACTATTGGAGACCGATCGTTCTTAAGGAATGAATATTGGAATGGCTTAATAAAAAGCTCAACATTGTTCACCGTTTCCTTGTATTATAAGTACTGTCAATACTGTCATAATTATTTATATATAACTTGGTATAAAATAATCAATTTATATCACTAATCTTAGTTTACACTTCCATTATCACTTTATGCCGTCGAATCTTCCGTGATAATTACTGTTTTCAGGCAAAAAGTGCTTTTTTATATTCACATTCATTGTACATTAAATATTTATTACCTTGGCAAGTAATTTGTGGTAGTTTGATAATAAATGTTAACTGCCCTCATGATGACAATCGAGTATTTCTGACATTGGTAAAGCAAAAAATATATTATAATGCAAACATTTCTTATAAAAATATGTCTTACTATAGGTATATGTTAAGATTCACACATGAAATATATTTTATACACGTGTACAATATTCATTTTCAAAAAGTCAGTGGTGGCCTAGAGGTTAAAAGGCCCGCCTCTCATGTATCAGGGCGCGGGTTCGATCCTGACAAGTACCAATGTAATTTTCCGAGTCATATGTACTTTCTAACAGCATGTAGACATCACTGATTAATGCACTATCAAAGAGGGTTTATGTCAGGCAGGCGGCTGGTCGTAAAAACAATTATCCAAAACTATTCACAACATGTAAGGCAGACCCTGGCTATAGCTGGGAAATTGCCAGGTAGAAGAACAAGAAGAAGTGTACAATATTTATTTTCGTTATCATTAGAATTCTAGTATAACTTTGATTTAAAAAAAATCTGCACCCTGTTATGTAAAATTCTTCTAAGAAATTGGATATTTTTCTTTATTATTGTAAAGTATATGTATTAAAAAATTCTCTCCAATGAATGTAAAAAAAAAAACAATTTAATAAATTATAGACTTATAGAGTGTAAATTAAATTAAACAAGTAAATTAGTTTAAATAAGTAATATGTTATTTTTTTTATTCTACAATAGATTCACGAACCTTACGAAATTGGTATTAATACCTTTGTCGTTTTAAATTAAAACATAAATAGCGTTAATGTTTAGTTTTAATAAAATAATATAGAAAGTTCCTTATACTAAATTATAACAAAAATTTTAAATAACATTACAACATAAAATTATTACATTTACGTTGTCAATATGAATTCTTAAATATTAAATGTTAAATGACGACAATCTCTCAATATTAATAATGAATTTCAAAATTGTCTTGTTATAAAGGTAAAATATATTTTCCTCAAGATTTTTATATAATTTGCTTATCCGTGCTTAAAATCGCCCTTCAGCGAACCCAGCAAAAGCAGCGAAAATCATTCTAGTTATATTGGCGATATCAATTACCTGTTTTTAAAACAAACTCAGCTAAAAATAATTTTTTAATGTGCTTTTCATAAAATATTATTGTTTTCTTAAATTCAGTGTCAAAATTTCGTTTGGAACCAATGTTTTCTTCTTGTTGCTGAGCAATAAATTTTTATTCGTAATAATAGGAGTTATTGTCTACGCTAATCAAAGAAATAAATTTCTGATCATGTCTTATAATTGGAAACTTACAATTTATATCTTTCAAACGAATCTCAAAAAAATCTTTCCAACCCAACTGCACAAAGCTTTGAAAAGTTCAATAAGAATGCCTGAATTTTCAATCAAAAGCGTAACTAAATTGATTGATTTATGTATTAAACTCAAATCTCTTTACATTGTTTAACAGTTCATAGAGCAAATAAGTTGCTTTTCAATTTTTATGCAGGCCTTTTTGACTAGAAGATTACATCTCGTGCGGGAGAGAGCGAGCAGGTTATGTGAGACTTACTAAATTCACTGTCGATCTTTAAGGAACCTAAAGGGAATTCTAGGAATTT